GAATAAGGAAACTACATCAAAACTGACAAGCAGATCGTCTGGGGACAGGGAAATATCCTTGATTGTTGATACCAGGTGAGTAGAATTTTGTACCGCAGAGGTGGTTTTTCCAGTGAAAGGCCGCAGGATTTCAGACAGAAAACGAGCCAGTTTGTAGGTGGGGGAGTTGATAGTAGAGACGATGGGACAAAGGAGTGTATCTACTTTATGCATTTTTGGTAAGCCGTATAATCTTGGTGGCCTGGCAGCAGAAGGTTTCAACGAGAACTGTTTGGTTTGATCAATTAATGCGGTTGAATCAGAAATTATTTTGTTAGTTTTTATGATGAGGCTGTTGGTTGGATCTCTTTTTATTTTTGTATAGCTGCCATCGTTGAGTAATTCTTGAATCTTGTTGTTATATTGTATTTTATCCATGATGACAGTGGCATTGCCCTTGTCGGCTGAGAGGATGACAATGTCATCTCTCTTTTTTATTTATATAATTCAAAACGCTCATCTTTGCTGAGGTTGCTAGCTGGCATCTTAGCGTTTTTAAGGATTGCAGCGATTTCAGATCTTGCTACGTCTGCAGCGATGTGACCCAGGCCCTTGAGAGCCACGTCAACTTGGGCAATGATATCATTAACTGGTATGTGTTTAGGTGTAACTGCAAAGTTTAGCCCTTCAGCTAAACGCCATCTGGCTACCATGAGAGATTCGTTCATGAGGCTACATTGGAGAAACCAAACAACATGTCTTGGACCGCATTCGTGAACACAAAGCAGAACTGAAACACGGTAGCACCAACATCTCGGCCGTGGCAGATCACTGTTATAATTCAGTAGGTTCACATGACATTGACTTCTCCAAGACAGAGGTTCTTTGCAAGCCATCTGGCTACCATGAGAGATTCGTTCATGAGGCTATCCACATATACAAACACAGACAATTTCAACCGAGAAGATGGATTCTGGCTTAGCAATCACTGGAAGGATTTGATCAACCATTTCGGGTCTTAATTGATTGATCACGCTTAAGGTGGCTTTCAGACCGTATCCATTATTTTTCGCCTCCCCCCTCCTCTTTTCCGAACATAGATGGACTCGTCCATCTGAACAAACTGTCAAATCGCTATCCGTTGTGCTAATGTAAGCATCGGATTCCCACCACCATCCATCACAGAAGAATTCTCTCATCAAGACTCTGTATCATAGAGCCCAATGCATATCTGACCAGGAACACATAAGCAGTGAACTCAAGCACGTACACCAAGCTCTTAGGGCTAATGGTTACTCCGACTATACAATCCGCAAAGCTATCACTCAAACCATGAAGAAGAACCCTCTTGAGGAGCCTTTCAAAACCATCACTTTACCCTACATTGCTGGGATCACAAAAAAGATCTCCAAAATCTTGAATAAACACAAGATCCAGGTCCGTTTCAACACATTACATAAAATCCGTGATCTGGTTCCGTCTGTAAAAGATGTGATTCCGGACATACAATACCCTGGTGTCTACAAACTAAGTTGCCTCTGTGGTAGTAGTTACATTGGAGAAACCAAACGCCATGTCTCGGACCGCATTCGTGAACATAAAGCAGACCTTAAACACGGTAGGACCAACACCTCGGCCGTAGCAGATCATTGTTCTAATTCAGTAGGCTCACATGCCATTGACTTTTCCAAGGCGGAGGTTCTTTGTAAGCCATCTGGCTTCCATGAGAGATTCGTTCATGAGGCTATCCACATATACAAGCACAGAGACAATTTCAACCGAGAAGATGGATTCTATCTTAGCAATCATTGGAAAGATTTGATAAACCATTTCAGTTCGAGACGAAATTAATTTCGTCTCCCCCCTCCTCTTTTAAAAAAAAAATAGATGGGCTAGTCCTGGGCAAACTGCCAAATCGCTGCGCGTGACGCCAACGTTTTTTTTTATAAATAAATAAATGTGCCGTTTAAAAATAAATTTATGCAAACCAACACACCTGATGATGACCGTTTGAGTTATGGTCGAAACGTCGTGAGAATTTTTTTATTGTTTTATATATATTTTGTTATTTTGTTGTTTCTCTTCAACGTGACTTTACCGAAAAAACTAAGAATATGAATTACTGCAGTCACGAAAGCTTTAAATCAAAATAATAAGTTACAAAAATAATTATTAGTGATTATTTAGGGTTTATGAAAATCCGGCACCCCCTTCCTTCTCTAAGCCGCCGGTTATAATCGGTGATCTTACTGTAAAACAAAAATAGTTTACACATCCTATTAGCCATTCGGTGTTGCTGGGAGTCTACAATTCAGCAGCCTTGCTTTCATATCATCAAATTTAGGACCGGTTTCGACATTCAGTGTCTCATAAGCATAGGGGTCATTGTTTGATGCAAGACTTATTATTTAATGCTCAGACCCAGAGGTTTATATTGTTATTTATTAATTAAATACTTACACAAAAACTCTCTCACACACAAACACATACACGACACGCATAAGTACATTCCGAGAGATTAATCCTATTGCTTATACTGGGACTCATGTTTGTGTAATCCTCTAAAACTAAATCTTTAGTTGATCAACTGCCACCAAATCTGACCACTCGCCACTGATACGAGCTGTGGCCAGAAATTGAATTACAAGCCACCTGTATCGTAGCGCAGTGCACCAACTGTGCCATGAATCCCATTTACACACACACATCAACCCCTACACACACATATCTACCGATACACACATCAACCCCTACACACACTGCACATAGACACATCAACCCTTACACACATTGCATATACACACACTGCACATACACACATCAACCCATACACACTACACACTCACACATTAACCCATACACACACTTCCCATACACACACTGCACACACACATTAAGCCATACACACTTCACATACACATGTAGAGGAGTAGTGGGATGACGTCATGTCATCTGTAGAGGAGTGGGATGGCGTGATGTTATGTCATCGAGGCGGCGGGGTACATAAAGGGGACCCCGGGACGAGGGCGGGGTCGCCGTGGGGAGAGAGAAGATGGGAACGAGAACCTGCATGGAAGACATCCCAGCCACCGCCGAAGAAGTGCTAGTGATGTAGAGGCCTCACCTCGTCGCCGGGCGGTAATGGGTGAGCCCCCGCCCGGGGCAGACGAGGGGGTAGGCATAAGGGAAGCCATACGGGGGCGTAGATAGCTGAGGGATGTCCGCGTAAAGGACAGAGTTCTGACGTGTGTAAGCGTCGAGCATAGAGAGTGTAAACAGAGTGTATAAGAGTGTGCAAGAGTGTGAATAAACGGTGAAAAGGAACGCCAAATAGGTTTCGCCAAAAGGCGTCCTCTGGTCTAATACCATTTGAGACGAGGCTCCAAAGAAAGCTGTCTCTGGTGTGGACCAATCAGTTTCAAAGACAATGCATCATACTATCAGTGTGTTTTTTGTTTGCATTCTGACCAAAAGTATTGTGGTTAATGCAGACATGATTCCTTGTAAAAGGTTTCAGTTTGGTGTTTTAACAACTTAACACCTGTTTTGTTTCCTGATAAAAGGGGAAAACCTATTCTCATATTTTGGTACTGGCAAAGGAGGTCCCATGATGTAACCATACACACACATCAACCCATACACTACACATAAAAACATTAACCCATACACACACATCAACCCCTACACACACTGTACATACACACATCAACCCCTACACACACACAACCCAAAAACATATAAATCCATACACACGCCATTAGCCATAAAGTGGTGGTGACGTCACCACGGCGCTTGTGCCAGGATATGTGCAGGTTAAGTGTCGAACGCCCGCTGGCAGGAAGTCACGGGGCAGACTTAGGTGTCATGGGTCGACTGAGATGACTGGCTGATGCACCACCTGTGCCCCCTACTGTACCGACATGCTGTGCTTTATCCACCCGGCGCTCCGCTCGTTGTTGTGAGCGTCGCTCCTCCGCCCTCCGTTGTTGTTGGAGGGCGACTGCCTCCACAGAGGCCGATCTTGACACCGCTGGTACCAGTCATCGGCAAGTATACTCGGCTCCACGTCCTCTTGTACCACATCACTCCATCTCTTCTCTATTCTCTGCCGCGCCCGTTTAGTCCCCTCTATCCAGCCGAACAAAAGATGTTTAGGCATGCGGGCGACATGACCCTACATGGTACACTACACAAACACACACGCACGCTACACAAACACCCACACACACACATTGCACACACACACTACACAAACATCCACACACATTGCACACATTGCACACACAAACGTACACCCACACAGAATGTACAAAGCCAAAGATTCCCCGTATAGCCTGAATAGACTGTTGGGGCAACTGCTGTAAGTGAGCACCTATGAAGGCTGGCACGGCACACGAGGGGGTGGGTGGCCAGCACCACGCCCGACCGCCTTTGTCTCCCTAGTGGCAATGTTTACACACCGCACCAGGTACTCATTTGAGGCTGAGTCGACCTAGGGGAGGCCCGGGACCGGTTCAGATAATCGTCACCGGTGTTGGCCGTGAGCGGGAATCGAACCCGGGTCGCCAGGTTCATAGCGCAGCGCGCTAACCGCTACACTATCGCTCCCCACTATATACACACACCCCCATACACACACCCACCCACATTGCACACACACCCATACACACACCCATATACACACTAAACAAACACACACATTGCACAAACGTACACACACGAAACAAACACCGACACACAATGCACACACCTATACACAAGCACACACATTGAACACACACCCATGCATGCACACACCCACCCACATTGCACACATACTACACAGCCACACACATTGCACACACAATACACAATCACCCACACACAATGCACACACGCACCCATACAAACACCCACACATATTGCACACACCCATACACACTACACAAACAGCCACACACACATTGCACATACACACGTATACACACTACACAAACAGCCACACATCATTACACAAACCCACACACACACACTATACAAACCGCAGTCCTGGCTCCCTGTTGCCCTCCGCTTCTCCCCCTCCCTCCACTCTCCGCCTCCTATTGTTCAGGCTCGGCATCAGAATCGCGTATCCGATTTCGAGGTTTATTCGAATGAAACTCGATTCCGATTTACCTGCGTCGCATGCTCTGGGTCTCCAAAGTGACCTTTCATTTTACTCTCTCGCCAACGAATTAGAAGCGGGACAAAGCCAATCATCACCTGTTACAACATTGCCGTGCAGGAGAGAAACTACCTATTTCAGGCACAATTTCAGCCACCTATTTCAGCAACATCTTTCAGCCACCACTTTCAACCACCTCTTTCAGCCACCTATTTCAATTAGCTATTTTAGCCACCTATTTCAGTCATCTTTTTAACTACCTATTTCAGCCACCGATTACTGCAACCTATTATAGTCACATCTTGCAGCCACCTTTTCAGCCACCTATTTCAGCCACCCATTTCAGCCACCTCTTGCAGCCACCTATTTCAATTAGCTATTTTAGCCACCTATTTCAGTCACCTTTTTTTAACTACCTATTTCAGCCACCGATTACAGCAACCTATTACAGCCACCTCTTACAGCCACCTCTTGCAGCCACCTCTTTCAGCCATCTATTTGAGCCACCTATTTGAGCCACCTCTTTCAGCCACCACTATCAACCACCTATTTCAACCACCTATTTCAGCCATCTCTTGCAGCCACCTATTTGAGCCACCTATTTCTATATTGATTTGAAGCTTTCGTGACTGCAGGAATCCATACTCTTTGGCTCTTTCGGTAAGGTCAGGCAGGTATAAAATAAAATAAATCACGTTTCGGGCACAACACAAGCATCTGTCATCAGGTGGGAAAGCATGGTCTGCTGCTGAGGCAGACTTTAAAAAGGTTTGAAATGGGTGTAGCCCAAGGGCCATAAAGAAGTGGCCGGGGATAGTGATGTTAATGTGAGAAATTAGCATGTAACTGTAAGATAGGAGAGAGGCCTCCTCGACAAGGGCGCGGAAGTGGCTATGTTAATGTGAGAGATTAGCATGTTAATGTGAAATCGAAGAGTGGTGCAATCCAAAGGCATGAGTGCAACCCAACGGGTGCAATCCAAAGGGCATGTGAGTATGAAAGTGCAATCCAAAGGCATGAGAGTGCAATGCAAAGGACATGTGAGCATGAGAGATCTAAGAGAGGCATAGAGAGAGACACAGAGAGTCGGAAATAACAGCTGACAGACAGGTAGGATGGAAACCTCACAGTCAGTTGACTTTAGCTGGTTAATATCGTCCTTCCAATGATTGCTCAGTTTGTTCCCATCCAATCGGTTGAAGTTGTGTCTGTGTTTATATTTCTGGATGGCTTCATGAACAAATCTCTGAAGGTAGCCGGTAGATTTGCAGAGTGCTTCAGTCTTGGAAAAATCAGTTCCGTGTGAACCCACAGCATTAAAACAATGATCAGCAATGGCAGAGGTATTGGTCCTACCGTGTTTCAGATCTGCCTTGTGTTCACGAACACGGTCCGAGACATGTCGTTTCGTTCCCCCAATATAACTGCTGCCACAGCCACAACTCACTTTGTAGACACCAGGGTATTGCATGTCAGGAATCACGTCCTTCACAGATGGGATAAAATCACGGATTTTGTGTACAGTGTTGAATCGAACCTGGATCTTGTGTTTGTTCAAGATTTTGGAAATCATTTTGGTAACACCTGCAATGTATGGCAAGGTGATAGGTTCTTTGAACCTATCTATGTGACTTTACCGAAAGACCCAAGAATATGTATGTTGAACTTCTGTCGCACTGTACGTAGCCAACCGTGCTAATTGGAGGTGCGGGGGACAACAAACTAAATACAAAAGGCTGTTCTAAAGTAATTAGTTTTCAATTCAAATGATTTAAAGTGCATAGCTTCAGTGGCTTCCTAATATTGGAAGGAAGAGTGTTCCAGATGGCCGCAGAAGCGCTTCGGAAACCACGCGATGCGGTGACCGTCTGTTTGACAGTGAGCCAAAAGCCGCCACTGTGACGGTGATCAAAGTTTACGTGATGATGGTTTATGCTTCTTGACAAGATCAGCCAGGTGGGACAGACACGTGAAGGAGCTGCTTAAAAGTGTTTTACTGCATTGAGTTGGTGAGCATCGCATGAGGACCTCACATCCAACGGCACTCATGGAGGACCCCCAACTTCAAAAAATCTGAAAGTACGCCAGTTATTGGTCCAAGCTATGTGGACTCGACCGATGTGATGCTGAATGTTGAAAATCGATACGGTGTCAACATGTTTTAATAAACCAATGGCTGCTCTGAAATTATTCACTCCCCCAGGAGGTCACATGGCTGATGTGATAAATATAATTTTTTTTTAAGGGACAGATATACAGATCGGTTAAAGAAAATCAGGGTCTGAATAGTTATTTATACTGGATGAATCTGATAAGCTATAAAGCTCTTCTTAACAGATGTCCAGTAGGGGCAGGTCTGAACGTGACACCAAACAATACAATCACATGATAGAAGTGCAAAATACAAGAAAGTTAAAAAATCACCCAAAACATACAAATAAAACTAAGCCATTCCCATCCTACGAGGCAAAGCCCACTGAAGGTATTAACTTATTACAACGACCTCTTGCAGCCACATATTTCAACCACCCATTTCAGACACCTCTGTCAGCCACCTGTTTCAGCCACCTATTTCAGCCACCTCTTTCAACAATCTATTTCAGCTACTTCTTTCATACTCTTTGGTTCTTTCGGTTAAGTCACGTAGGTAAAAAAATATAAATGAAAAAAAATAATAAATAATTTGTTACTACTTCTTTCAGCCACTACTTTCAACCACCTATTTAAGCCACCTCTTTCAGCCACCTCTTTCAGCCACCTCATTCCACCACCTATATCAGCCACTTATTTCAGCCACCTCTTACAACCACCTATATCTGCCAACAATTTCAACCACCTCTTTCAGCCACCTCTGTCAGCAACCTCTGTCGGCCACCTCTGTCGGCCACCTCTGTCGGCCACCTCTGTCAGCCGCCTCTGTCAGCCGCCTCTGTCAGCCGCCTCTGTCAGCCGCCTCTGTCAGCCGCCTCTGTCAGCCGCCTCTGTCAGCCACCTCTTGTAACCACCTCTTATAACCACCTCTTATAACCACCTCTTGCAGCCACATCTTGCAGCCACCTCTTGCAGCCACCAATTATCAGCCACGTCTTTCAACCACCTATTTCAGCCACCATTTGCAGCCACCTATTTCAGCCACCTCTTTCAAGCACCAATTTCAGCCACCATTTGCAGCCACCTATATCAGCCACCTATTTCAGCCACGTATTGCAGCCACCTCTTTCAGCTACTTGTTTTAGCCACCTCTTGCAGCAACCTCATTCCACCACCTATATCAGCCACCTATTTCAGCCACCTCTGTCAGCCACCTCTGCCAGCCACCTCTGCCAGCCACCTCCGGCAGCCACCTCTTGCAGCCACCTCTTTCAACCACCTCTTTCAGCCACCTCATTCCACCACCTATTTCAGCCACCTCTTGCAGCCACCAATTATCAGCCACTTATATCAACCACCTATTTCAACCACCAATTTCAGCCACCATTTGCAGCCACCTATTTCAACCACCTCTTGCAGCCACCAATTATCAGCCACTTATGTCAACCACCTATTTCAACCATCAGTTTCAACCATCACTTTCAACCACCACTTTCATCCACCTATTCAACCGCCTATTTCAGGCGCCTCTTTCAGCCACCTATTTCCACAACCTATTTCATCCACCTATTTCCATCACCTATTTCAGCCACCTCTGTCAGCCATCCCTGTCAGCCACCTGTCAGCCACCTGTCAGCCACCTCTGTCAGCCACTCCTGTCAGCCATTCCTGTCAGTCACCTGTCAGCCACCTGTCAGCCACCTCTGTCAGCCATCTCTGTCAGCCACATATTTCAGCCACTTATTTCCACAACCTATTTCAGCCACCTATTTCAGCCACTTCTTTCAACCACCTCTTTCAGCCACCTCTTTCAGCCACCTATTTCAGCCATCTCTTTCCGCCACCTATTTCAGCAAACCTTTTTCAGAAAACCTCTTTCAGCTACATATTTCAGCCACCTATTTCCACCACATATTCAGCCACTTCTTTCAACTAACTCTTTCAGCCACCACTTTCAACCACCTATTTCAGCCACCTATTTCAGCCACCTATTTCAGCCACCTATTTCAGCCACCTATTTCAACCACCTCTTTCTGCCACCTCTTTCCGACACATATTTCTACCGCCTATTTCAGCTGCCTATTTCAGCCACCTATTTTAGTCATCTATTTCAGCCACTTATTTCAGCCACCTCTTTCAGCGACCACTTTCAACCACCTATTTCAGGCACCTCTTTCCACCACCTCTTTCAGCAAACCTCGTTCAGCCACCTCTTTCAGCCACCTCTTTCAACCACCTATTTCAGCTACCTATTTCAGCCACCTATTTCAGCCACATATTTCAGCCACCTCTTTCAGCCACCTCTTTCAGCCACCACTTTCAGCGACCTATTTCAGACACCTATTTCAGTTACCTATTTCAACCACCTATTTCAGCCACCTATGTCAGCCACCACTTTCAACCACCTCCTATTTGAACTATTTTATTGATCTATTTCAGCCACCTATTTCAACTACCTATTTCAGCCACCTATTTCAGCCACCTATTTCAGCCACCTATTTCAGCCACCTATTTCAGCCACCTATTTCAGCCACCTCTTGCAACCACGTCCTTCAACCATCTATTTCATTTACCTTTTTCAGCCACCTATTTCCGCCACCTCTTTCAGCCACCTTTTTCAGCCACGTCTTTCAACCACCACTTTCAACCACCTATTTCAGGCACCTCTTTCAGTCACCTCTTTCCACCACCTATTTCAGACACCTATTTCAGCCACCTCTTTCAGCCACATATTTCAGCCACCTCTTTCAGCCACCACTTTCAACCACCTATTTCAGGCACCTATTTCAACTACCTATTTCAGCCACGTATTTCAGCCACCTCTTTCTGACACATTTCTACCGACTTTTTCAGCCGCCTATTTCAGCCACCTATTTTAGTCATCTATTCAGCCACCTATTTCAGCCACCTATTTCAGCCACCTGTTTCAACCACCTATTTCAGCCACCTATTTCAGTCACCTCTTTCAACCACCCCTTTCAGCCATCTATTTCAGCCACCTATTTCAACCACCTTTTTCAGCCACCTATTTCAGCCACCTATTTCAACCACCTATTTCAACCACCTATTTCTGCCACCTCTTTCAGCCACCTCTTTTAGCCACCTTTTTCAGCCACCTATTTCAGCCACTTATTTCAGCCACCTATGTCAGCCACCTATTTCAGACAGTTCTTTCAGTCACCTATTTCAGCCACGTATTTCAGCCACCTATGTCAGCCACCTATTTCAGCGACTTCTTGCAGCCACTTTTTTTCTGCCGCATATTTCAGCCACCTATTTCTGCCACCTATTTCCGACACATTTTCTACCGCCTATTTCAGCCGCCTATTTCAGCCACCTATTTCAGTCATCTATTTCAGCCACTTAGATCAGCCACCTATGTCAGCCACTTCTTTCAGCCACCTCTTTCAGCCACCTATTTCAGCCACCACTTTCAACCACCTTCTATTTTATTGATCTATTTCAGCCACCTATTTCAACTACCTATTTCAGCCACGTATTTCAGCCACCTCTTTCTGACACATATTTCTACCGCCTATTTCAGCCGCCTATTTCAGGCGC